TCAAACCGGTCAGTCCTAGAGGAGATCAGCCCTGACTGCTCCTTAGAAGGCCAGATGCTGAAGATGAAACTCAAGTACTTTGTCCACCGAATGAGAAGGAAGGACTCCCTGGAGAAGAGCCTGATGCTGGGAACAATAGATGGCAAAAGAAGGAGGGGACGGCAGAGGATGAGGTGGCTGGATGGAGGCACTGAAGCAGTTGGTGTGAGCTTGAGTGGACTCCGGGGGATGGTGGAGGACAGGAAGGCCTGGAGGAGTGTTGTCCATGGGGTCGCGATGGGTCGGACACGACTTTGCGACTAACATCATCGTCCCAGTCTCTATGTAGGATGGAAATGCTTCCATGAACTGTTGGCATTCCAGAAATCTCCACCACCACCTCCTCAACCATACTACCCTGTTTATTTGCAGAGTCGACTTCAAGAACCCCTGGAGCTTCCCGCCTCTCCTGACATGCTGATCCAGCTCTCCTGCCTGCGTGCCCTCCAGCCGGCTGCTGTTCCAGGAAGGCTGCACTGGGAGCACTTCCTGCTGTTTGACAGGGAAGGGCATCACCTGAATGCCTGGGCAGGATGATCTATGCCTCCTCAGCCTTGGGACCAAGGGTAGCTAACTGCCAGGCTACCATGGCCAGGAGGCCGCTCTTCCTTTGGGAGGAGCTGGGAATGCTCTGCAATCATCTTCTGGACCAGCAGAGCTCTCTCCAGGGTCTTCCAAGCTGAGGCAGTGCCCCTTTCCTGGATGCTGGGCACCAGACAGACGCAGTGTGCTGTGGAGGCATGCTGGCTGCACTCGCCTGGTCCCTTGCAGAGGCCTCCTGCCACATCAAAGCCCTGCCCTTCGACGGGCCAGGCTCTTCCACTTGAGGATGGGTGGCTACCACTCGGAAGGCACAGCCCATGGTGAGGAGGAAGGGGATCGAGCGGCCTCCATCTTCAAGATCACATTTTTCCTGCTGTGAGCCTGTTTATCTACTACCTTAACATATTTTAACTTTCTAGGTCCAAGAAGCCAATCTCACGCCTTTACTGCAACTTACTTGCCCACTCATATTTTCAGCAACCCTGCAATGGCTTACAGTACTTCATACTTCACATTTACAGGGTACTCATGCCTCATAAGCCTAAGAACTAAACGGGCAACTCACGTTTATTATACCTGTTATGCCCATAGGGGCTCTGAGTGAGAGGGCTTAACCCAAGGCCAAGGGGAAGTATCTTGACTCAGCTCAAGCGGCTGGTCACTGTAGCCAGTGGACACCCTAGCACTCTCTGCATCCCTGCACAGGCTGGTGGAGCGCCTCTCTTGGGCCGACGGTGGCCAGTGCCGTCGGGCTGCTTCGAGACGTGCTCTGATGGGACCAATTTCCGTTCTTGCACATCCAATTGCATCGTTCACAAGCTGAGTTCAGTCTGCAATACTCTTTCAGGGACACTGAAAAACTAGAAGCCTTTCGAAATCCGTAGCTTTTCGCTTAAAATTATTCTACTAGTGATAATTTCCAATGTACACAAAGCTGCCAAGACATGCTTGCATTTTGCTTGTGAAAGTGTGCTGCGTAAGTGGGATTATGCACAGGACGTAGCTGCCTTTGCTACAGGTATTAGAAAGTGAGCAGAATATAGTGGAAGTCTAGAGCAGCGCTAGATCTCATAAATGTTTGCTAGTAAGAATCTAAAATAATTTCATTACGGGGTTTGCCTGCTCATAGTATAAGTATGAGAACACACTAGGCCTGCATGAATTAAGGTAGTAAGATAATCTTTCATGATTAAATATTTAAAGAAATATCAGCATGAGCCAAACAACAGAAGCACTTGGAAAAGAGCAACTGAATGATGAGCCAGATTATGGAGATCGAAACCAGAAGCGATAGCCAACATTTTAGAGACAGCCTGGATTCAAAGTGATCTGGAAGACTGACACACGGTAATATAGCTTCTGCTGCCCACAAATATTATTCAGTGTTCCCAGCTTAAAGTGAATGGCAACACTCAAGATTGGCCTGCAAAGAAAGTTAGCCAGCAGAGCAGCCCCATCAGAATCTGGGCTTAAGTGCCCTGCAGGAACAGGCTGTGGGGGACACGGACAGACAGACCTAGAATTCTGTTCAAGATGGTACTAGCACACGCTGGCTTTTCAAACAGTTGCTAATGTTTCTCACCCAATTTGTAATGGGAAATTATGTACTGCAAGCTGAAATGTGTTTAGTCAGAAAAGTACAAGTTCAGAAGCACCTTATGGAATTCTTTTCACATAGCATTGCAAATAAGTTTTATTTGCTATTATGGAACTTGATTGAGTCACCTGCATACCAGTTCATTCCCCTCCCCAAAATACAGGGCTTGGAAAAAATAATCAGTATTTATTTACTAACAATGACATAAAATACATCTCCATATAATTATTTCTTTACAAATTAAAAGATGAATTGAAAAAAGTGAAGAAATGCTTATGATTCTTTTCCTTTCATATTCTAGAAATTAGTATTGTGAAAGTCTTGTTGAGCCTGGTTCTAGGGCGCAAGTATCTTCACTTGTGTAATAGGTCTCTGCGGTTTGGCTGGGAACCAAATGTGTACTTGGCAGGAGGGGTGGGGGGCATCTCAGCCACATCTGCACGTGAAAAGCTCTGCAAGATCTCATCCACTAGTTCTTGGACACTCCCCTTTGCTCTGAGATGAAAGGGGAACGAGGGAAGACAAACTAGCTGCAATAGGAGGAAAACATATTTACACACACACACTATAGGTCATGGAAAAAGAAAACGGCACACCCGGATTATTTAATTGGTTATGTACATGAGGTTTCATGTACCATCTGCCTCCGCAATTCCCCTCCCTGTTTTTTTTTTCAGCTTTCAGTGCTGCTGTTCCTTCAGTATATCCTGGGAACTGCAAGAATACTTCAGGGTATTTTTTTAAAAAATAATTTGTTTTCTTTTGAAGAATTAGCGAGCCCTTAATCTCAAACCAATCACCTACACCCCTGTAGAAGGCAGCCATAAACAAAGGCGGCTTGTCTGAGGCACAAGGCCTGCCAAGGGTCCCCTATGTTGGTGGACCAGTGAGAACCATCTGGCTTACAACCATCTGAGTGCTGCAGTTGTTCTCCAAGTGGCTGGTGTTCTTCAAGCCTAGCAAGGGTCCGAGCTTACACAATGGTGTAATTTGGACCTTTCTTATGGATATGAATTACTTCCACGTGGCGCTTCTTGGGTGCAGTTCAGACAATCTCCAAGCATAGTCCTATGTCACTTGTGACACCTTGTTATAAAATAGTACTTCCTAAGGGGAAAAGCACACACATCTCTAAAAGGATACTTGGAGCAAAACCTAGCAGAGCGAGTGAGTGGAAAGAGGCGACGCACACCAAGCAAGAGGGTGTTGGTAGTGAGAGAGGGAGCTTCTTTTCCCATGGGGTGGTGGCAACACTTGTTCATACAAACCCAAGGCAAGGTTTGTGCGTTCAGACACAGGATCTGCTGCTTGTCGCTGACCTATTCCGGCGGAGATTTCCACGGTAATGCAACTACTCACTAGTCTGCTCAGAGCTCGAGGGATTCTGCGACAAGACGTGGCTCCGACCGCACCAACGCCTGCGGCAGTGTGACAACGCCGGCCGCCTTGTCCAGCCTCTCCCCCACGACTGTGCAGGGCCTGCCCACCTACCGTTCCCCATCTGGTTCACACGCACAAATACAGCAGCCACCAGTTTTGAAGAGCAATCACTTTTTCATCCAGTGCCAAATCATGTACAGTGAATTCAAGACATTTCTTACAACAGGACAGCTGGGGACAGGCAGGCGTGGAGCGTCCCACCAAGCACAGTAAGAGACACGGGTCTTGGGCCTGGAACCAACTAATGCGTCTGCACACACTGCAAGTCTGTCTGACCTTTCTCACTCTCGCAAAGGGTTCTGGAGGTGGTGGGACTGTTGATGCGCAGTGTATTAAAAATTATGGAATTGTACAGGTTTCGCTAGTGTCCTCTGGAAGGAGCTGGGCCCGTTCATCAGGTGGGTAGCAAACACAGAAGTGTCAGTGCTGGGATCCAGCAGAACTCCAGGCCTAGCTCAGCAACTGGCGAATCTCCTTATGCATGTGACAGAGGAAGTCCACATACGAAGCCCCTCCATTCATGCTCTTGTCTTCCACCAAAAAATGTTTGAACAGCAGATCTAGCTTGTCTTCCTGTTTCACAATCATAAGCTGCAGACAAAAGAACAGTTGGACAGTTAGGCTGTAGTGGTGACTTGCACGTGAAGCACTACTGGAGACGTCGTCATTTTCAGCTGCGACTAATTGTCCTGGGAAGAAATATTTGCACAACAAAAGCTTCCCAAAGCAATGGATCAGTGACCCTTCAAGGAGCTGATTTCTAACAGTGGAAGCCAGAGCTCATGCTGAGGTTTAGGAACTGCTGCTGCTACAGTACTATTAATAAAGACCACCACTGTATTACCCTCAAACCCCAATTTATCTAACGGGAACACAAAACAGGGATAGAAATCCACCACCTGAACCAAGAACCGTACCTTCATGTAGCGTGATCTTTGAGACTGGAACATATCAATGATGGATCGTACCCTCTTTGAAAAGGGATTGTCCAAAATTGGTAGCACGCACTGGAATACATAAAGTTGGAGAACTTCAGAACAGTTCAGGAACTATTTAACTCAATTTATGGGGATTCTAAGCACATGGGTCAGTCTAGTTAAAGATTAACAGGTCCAAATAGTGAAGATGCTGAACTGCTTAAAACTAGCAAAGAGGAATCCCTAGATCAGTCCTCATGGGAAACTGGCAGTATTGCGAAACTGCCACTCTGACTCCTGGGGAAGAACTACAGAGGCTTACGTTCTGCCTGTAACTTCACACAGTCTTGCCCTTGAAGATGACCGTGTCAGATCTTGTGGAGAAACTCGGCAAAAAGCAGAGATCAGTTGTGACCATGCCCCAAGACAAACCTTCCCATCCCAAATGATCCTACTCACCAAAGAGCTGCTGATCTGGCTGAACGATGAGACTCCGAAGAGGCTTTGGATCAGCCCCTGCTGAACATTTACTCCTACCCACAAAAATATATTCAGCCCATTTTCCAGCAGGTACATGTCACCCTTGGAGAGACGTTCCTCTGAGTTTCTGATCGCTGTTGGTAAGGAGTCACTATTGAGATCTACTTTGGTCTGCAGAGACAAAACTGGAGTCACTGTCTTCCCGGGTACACACGTGTCACAAGATTTAGCCAAGGACAAGTTTTGCACGCACACATCCACTGGCCCAGGCACTGACTGGGGTGCAGTAAGGCAGCTGTAGCAGAAGCCTCAGAAACCCAGCTAAAGTTTGAGAAGGCCTGCTGGCAGCCCTCGCATTTGCAGAACTAGCTGGAAGTGCAAATGCCGGTGGAGGGAGTGCTCCGCAAGGCGGTTCCACACTGGCAGGCTGCCCGTGGGACCCAGCCCAAGCACTTCAGCCAAGAGGCCTCTGTCCCTGTGCTACCGCCCGCCCCACTTCCCTCTCAGCCGCAGGGGTGCAGCACTTGGGATAAGCAGAGACCGCTGTGTGCCTGTCCTTTGGTTGCACAGCACACCTGAACAAGAACCCTTATTTTTGCAGGGAGAACCAATCTGAAGCTGTTAGCCAACAACAACGGGTCTCTCAAAACAACGTGGACTTCCAAGTTCATACTCCACATTAAGCAAGGGAGGGCTGGTCATCCCCGGATCATTTTGCTCACTGGGCGTGACTGGGCCGCTAGCGTGTGCAGCCCCACACGCTCAGGACCACTCGAGGTTTATAGAAACCCTGGGCAGCCACGACATGTGACCCAGGTCGTATGACCTGAGCCCGATCAGCACTAAGAAGGGCAAGGTTCCCGGTTCCCCCATCTTGCAGGAACACATCATGTATTCGAGTTTCAGCAGAAGTAAGTTCACCACAGAGCCTACCTGAACAGGACAACTTTAATTCTCCCTGCATCTCTGAGCAATACGCTCAAGTAGCTAAGTGCCTTGTGCACAGAAACACTTACCAGCAGAATGAGCCTGGGGTAAAAGAAAACATTGGTTTCCGCCACATCCATGGAGGTGACCAGCTGGCGGAGGTACGAGCGGTCGTCAGTGGTGAGCTCGGACCCGGGCTGCAGCACATCGCTTTTCAAGACACAGTTCAGGTAGACGGGCAGCAGTTTCATGCATTCAGGGAGAATCAGCTGCAAGTGACAGAGCAGGAATTGGAGAAATCGCCCGTGAAGGGGGCAGCGGGCGGAAGGGGAAAGGACTGCAGCTACCGTGAGCTTTGGACAGTTTCCACAGAACCATCACTACCTTCTCCCAGAGGGCAGCTACATTAATCTACTGCAGAAATGACAAGAGAGCCTTTGTGCACTTTAAAGATGAACATATTCATGTTGCTAACCCAAGTGTGTTGGGTCCTTCAGGTACTGCAAGACGCTATAATGATTTTTACCACTAAGTTTAGCGCAGACGTAAAAAACCCAAGTGTTTATTTCAGATTAATAGGGCAATACTCCAGGAGGCACATGCATTCTCTACTTCTGCATTTTTAAACTATCACCACAATTGTCTTGTGGTGAGCATAACAAATATGCTCTGAAAGCCTCATCCTTATGGCTAGATCAGGAAACTCTTGAAAATGCGGTGCTGGGCCTCCACAACCCGCCCGCTTTCTTGTCCTGCTGTTCCGGAAGCAGACAGGATGCCTTCATGGGCACCAGCTGCAGGGCTCGAGGCGCCCAGCTGCAAGATTCTGGATCGGCACGGGCAGCATCTCCCAGCCAAGCTGGCTCACTTACCTGTCCCGCAGAGGAGGGGCTGGCACAGTTTTTCCGATAGCATGCCAAGATCTGGGCACACTGGCTGATCAGCGTATCTCTCACTGTCTTGACTGGATTGTTCAGCACTTCGCGATATGCTGCGGAGGGGGGGGCAGCAACTTTTACACATGCACGCAAATAGCTCACGTTTCCTGCTCCACTGCTCTCTGGCTAGCATTCCTCACATGAGAAGAGTCTGGATAAAATTCTCCCAATAATCAGCTGATGTGAAAATGTCCCAGAGCTCAGAAGGACTGGTGCCATTTGCACGAGCAGCAAAAAAGAGCAGAAGAGGCACCCTTTGTGCCTTCGGCACGTTCTCCTGCATGTGAGGTGAAGGCAGCACCTCTGCTGCCCTCCTCCTCGTCCACCAGGCCAGGATGAAGCCGCCGTGGACGCCACGACTTCCACCGCCTCCTCTGGGTGCCACAGCCCACCCCCAGGCTCAGCCTGGTGCATGTAAAGCCCCCTACAGTAGCGTCTGCTAAGACCGTTCCCGTAAGAACGGGACAGGAAGCCAACCCGCCCTGCCTGCCTGAAGTTCTCTATAATAAGCACGTTACTTATTTTATGACTCTGACAAGATATACAAATCAAGGATTCCTTGTAATTTGCCATGCACAACACAAACAATATCCATGCTAGTGGGGACAGCTTGTCCACTTCGCTTCTGGTAATAATGTGCCCAGTTCTGCAAACTCTTGCTTGTAATAAATAAAACAAAGAATGTTGCAAGCTTTATAGAGCATAACAAATAAATTCCACAGGCTTATTTTAGCCACCTCCCATTATCAGTCAGATAAATGAGCCGGTGGGGACTACAGAGATTCTCTCCGTACTGGGAGAGTCATGGCACCAACTTGCCATAGGCTGCAGCTGCCGACAAAGCTTTTTATTTAAACGTCATTTTAATTGTTAATATTATTTATTGATTTTACATCTTTGGCCAGGATGTCTCCAACTATATTGTTTTTATATTGTTATTATGTTATTTATTGTTGTGAGCCGCCCCGAGGCTTCGGCGAATGGGGCGGCATAAAAAAAAATAAACAAGCAAGCAAGCAAGTCGACAAGGTTCTGCTCTTATGGCCACTGCATGAAATCGCACATTGCCAAGCTCCAATTGGGAGGTTCTTCTTGGGAATCCGCCACCCACAACACATACTCTGCCTTCAATTCCATCACTTGGAAGGCCAGGATGTCCATTTCCTTTCAACCATCTTCACAGCATGGAGTCCAGGCAGGATTTGTCTTTAAACCGACCCCACAAGGGTTCCCATCAAGCTGCCTTCTGCTGGAAGCTGTCACAAAGTCATCACTTACCAAATTTGGCCAAGTAGTTAATCAGCGTGTCCGTCTCACAGTTCCGGTAAAGATCAGCCAGTTGTGTGCAGCAGTTCAAGGAGAGGTTATGAACACGCAATCGCCTCTGTCCCGCACAGCTGGTATACAATACAGCACACTGCACGAGAGGAATCGGAAGCAGAGCTCTCAGTCCATTTCCGTAGGAGCCACTCCCGCAAGAAGTATTCCCAGTACTCTCTGCCATGTATCTAAGGACACGAAGCTCCCTGCACGCAACCGCCTTACTTCCGGCGCTTGCCCTGGCCAGAAGGCGAAGCAAGCAAGCCAAGATCGCACCTGTGCACGGGCGGGAGCGCCAGCAGAGCCCTCCCCTGAGCGAGGTGCCCAAAGCACGCAAGTCGCGGGTGCAGAAGCAGACCGCCCAAGGGTGGTGGGCGCACAGGCCAGCCTCCGGGACTCGCTTCCTCCCACGGGGCCGCTGGGCAGAAGGCGGGCTCAGGGCAGAGGAAAGGCGAGCTGGAGCCCAAGGACCTGAGCTGAGCTGAGGAAATCCGACGGGTCCCCCCAAGCCGGACCCCTCACCGCTTGCAAGGCAAAACAGCAGCGCTTATCCCGCACCGTGCGTGACAGTACAAAATGCTCCTGGGTCTAAGCCAGGGCTGGAGGAAAGACGCACACGTGGCTCAGGCCCCCCCCCCCCAGGCACGGCGGCGGCTCCCCCGCGTCACCTGAATAAGCGCGCCACTGTCTTCACTCAGCTTGTCATCGTGCTTGAATTCCACCGTGATCGTTTTGTCACAGTCTAAGCCGGCCAGTTCCACGTCTGTGGTGTTGCTCATGTAGAACGCGCCAAAGAACTCCGTGGCCCGAATCCCTAGAAGGCAAAAGGACATGCTGTCGGGAAGGGCGTGTGGAGGGCGCTGCCGGCACTGGCGGTCGTCACCGTCGGACTTCAGCTGCTCTGAGGCCAAATCTCTGGCCCAGGCGCACTGGCGGAAGACGCGCTTCTCTACGAGGTGCTGCGCTGCTGCCCCCCCAGCAGCTGAGGCTCCCCGAGCGGTTCACAGCAGTTCAGGCCAGAAGGCACGGCACGACGGAATACAGGGCAGGAGTTTAAAACCACAGGATGAAATAAAGACCAGAATAAAATTTAGCGGCAGTGCAGAGATGCAAAACACAGTAACAGATCTGAACAACAGAGTACGGACCGCTAACATGTCTGGGAATGTAAGAGCGCAGCACTGGCACTGGGCCGCCTCCCTGCCATGCTCGTTCCACAAAGGGTGCCATGGCAGCAGAGGCCCTCGGCGGGACCGCTGCCCAGCACGGCCCCCCTGGGCTCCCGGAGAGGGGCCATCGAAGGGCACGTTCAAGTCCAGGCAGGTGTGCATGTGAGGAGATGGTCCTCCGGGTGAGACGGCCCCGAGCCAGTTAAAGCTCTGAATGTTCATCCCAGCACTTTGAACCAGGCCCAACGGTGAGTGGGCCGGCCGCCAGTGCAGGGGGAAGAGAGCTGCCCACTGAGATCAAGCTGGCCAGTCCCCAGCAGTGGTCGCGCTGCCCTGCCGTGAGCCAGCTGCAGGCAGCCCCACACGCAGCACTTGGCAGAGGTCCAGCTGTGAGGCTACCGGGGCTCGCTCACGCTTGCCGGGTGACCTCGGTTCAGATGGGGACGCAGCCGGTCAGCCCGAGCACACAAGGGATGGCTCCGTGCCACCAAAGCCACCTCTGCCTCTCATGACAATGCTGGATACAGGAGCACCCCAAATACACATGCGATCTCTGGGGGGGCTGCAAGTGGAACACCGCCTAGCCAGGCAGAAGAACCACCCAACAACCGGACTGAGCCGTGGCATATTAGCTCTCATCCAGTCCGTTACGAAGCCCAAGCACCAATTCAGGACAGCCAGGCCTCACCCGGATGTGATGAGGAGGCGGCAGTGCTCCTCTCTCTGCGCCCCGATGTCACTTCCCCCCACCCCGGATGCGCTCTCCCAACAGCTTCCTGGGGGTGGAGATCAGCCCGGGGGACAGAACAAGGCCCTGAGGAGTGCTGCAGCATGGCTGGTGCCATGCCCCCGCTGGAGGAAGCCTCCGGCAAGCCAGCGCTCCCCCAGACTGCTGCCCCCGATTCTGCCCACATCAGGAGGCCTGGGGAGCCTGGGCCCTTAAGGAAGGTAGCCGCAAGCCCACCTCTGCAGGGGAAGGGTCTCCTGCTACAGGAGCTGAAAAACCACCCAGTCCCAGTCCCAGAGTGCGGTGTCACCTTGAGACAAACCAGCAAAGCTCCTGTAAGTAGGACCTGACCCCAAAGGCAGGGTCCTCAAGGGGAGGGGAGGGGAGGGGAGGGGAGGGGAGGAAGCTCCTCCGGAGGAAGGCTCATAACACATTTCAGCGAAGCCCTGCAAGGGGCCAGGAGGGCCTAGCAGCAGGAGCCTCCAGCTCCACCTCGACTTGGCTGGGTGGGAACACCAGTGTTGCTGCAGCTCCTGGATCCAATACTCTGTCCTTGCCTGGTATCTGGACCTCCTCGTTACTGACTTTTGGACTTCTGCCAGATGCTTTCTCAGCTCTGCCTAGACTGTGCTGGACTTCCGCTCCGCTTTGCTTTCTCTATTGCAATTACCTTTGTGCTCGCATAAAAAGGAGCTGAACATCATCAGGCAGGACAGCTGCCAAGTCTCAGCGCAATCCTGCCAAAGCACACCTCTGAAAGCATCCATCCAAGGACTGGGGCCCGTGGGCTGCAGTGCCTCCAACCCCCAGCCCAGACAGAATCCACGATCAGCGATATTGGAAGCTGGCGAGAGGTCCAAGCAAACTGAGCAGGGCCACGCTTCCCCATCCCTCTTTCGGCAAAGAGGGCTGGCCACTCCGGTCAACCAGCAGAGTCTCCTTTCCGAAAGCAGGCCTGCAGCCCAGCTGAAGTGGCTCCAGGAATTCGTTTCATTCAAGGCGGCCAGGAGCTGAGGGGCAGCCGTGCACTCGAGCAGGGAAGCGATGCGATGCAGTCGCTTTCGCCCTTCAGATCAAAGGGAGCCTTCTTCCGGAGTGGCCCCATCACTGCCTCCTTTAGCAAGGCTGGCACCACCCCCTCTCTGAAGAAGGCACTCCCCCCCAGTTCCAAAATGTGCGGTATCCAGATACTCACCGGTGCTCGTGCGCACTCTCATCACAGCATCGAAGCCCACCTCTTTCTGAACATCTCTCCGCAGGTCGTTCAAGAAGCGCTCCTGATCTGCTTCCCCCTGGCATTTTCAACCAACAACAGAGTTTCACACAGCCGCAACAACTGGCATGAACCACTGTCTTCGCTCTCCAGCATACGCATGCGAGGCACCGAACCTCAAGCACAGGGGCCACGTCCTGTTCTCCAGGCCATTCCTTCCTCGGGTCCCATCCCTTCCGCCCAACCACTGACTGACTGCTTTCCCAGCCTTCTGTGCGCTTTTCCCAGTCTAAAAGGCAAAACTGCTCCAACATGCTGGTATGCTGAGCACTGTGGCCCCACCCATGTCTTCTCCTGCCCCGCCAGACCCAACGGCCTCCCTGAAACGGAATTTGGCCCTCACGCCGGAAGAGGTTCCTCAGCCCTTTGTGTACAGGCACCAATTTCTGTTTCGTTCAATATATAAATCATGGAGTTGTGTAGATTTAAAGAAGAAATTCTCCTCAGAACACACTGTAATTCCTATGTCTAGAAGGACCTTTTTCTCTATTTCCTAGCTAACATTTTGACAATGATACTTTAATATAACTTAGAAAAAGCCATTTGTTAAGACAGGGCTGCTTTTTAAGACATGTTATACCTCAAATGCATAGGAGAAAGCCTAGAGCAGTGGTGGCGAACCTTTTAGAGACCAAGCGCCCAAACTGCAACCCAAAATCCACTTATTTATTGCAAAGTGCCAACACTGCAATAAAACCTGAAAACTGAGGTTTTAGTTTAGAAAAAACAACTCACAGCCAATCCAAGCAAATATATATATATCCTTGGCAGCCCACTGACCAGCCATGTGAAAGCTCGGACAAGTCACGGCTAATGAAATTGCGGCTCGGGACGTCATCGCCTGGCGCCACTACTCCTTTCCGAGCATGCGCACGGCCTCTATGTGCGCTGTTATCTGATGCTCGGCTGCTGGGGCGATGCTGGGGCGACTTGACTCACTTGCTCACGGAGAGGGCTCTGTGTGTCTGCTGTGGCATGCGGGCCATAGGTTCACCACCACTGCCCTAACCCTGCCCTGCTGCACTCCCCTAACCCTAATACAGGGGTAAAATACCATTGAAAGGGGCAATTTTGAAAAAGCCTTCTTTGAGTAGCTTTTTCTGCACAGCTCATCATTTCTGCCCATTCTAAACACATTCCAACCATCAAAATCATGCCAGGACACCTCATTTTTCTAACCCTAATGCAGTGATGGTGAACCTTTTAGTGACCAAGTGCCCAAACTGCAACCCAAAACCCACTTACTTATCACAAAGTGCCAACACTGCAATAAAACCTGAAAACTGAGGTTTTAGTTTAGAAAAAAACAACTCACAGCCACTCCAAGCAAATATATGTATGTCCTTGGCAGTGCACTGACTGGCCATGCGAAAGCTTGGATGAGTCGCAGCTAATGAGTTACAGCTTGTGACATCATCGCCTGGCACCACCACTCATTTCCAAGCATGCGCATGGCCCCTATGCGCACTGTTATCCGATGCTCAGCTGCTGGGGCGATGCTGGGGCCACTTGGCTTGTGTGCCGACAGAGAGGGCTCTGCGTGCCCGCTGTGCCACACGTGCCACAGGTTCGCCACCACTGTCCTAGAGCATGACGTTAAGGAAAATACCAGACACCCAACATTTCATTCAGGACAAGCTGCCTGACCAGAAGGAATTCTCCTTGACAAGTAACGATGTGTAACCATTTCATTTTCGTGATACATGATAAAAAGGTATCCTGGCCACTTACTAAACCAATTTCAACTGGAGTTTGGAAACACAAACCTTCAGGTTTGAGAGACGGCATCAGGCAGGAGATCCCAGGAAAACTGTTCTGCTGGAACTGAACCGAGCTGCCACCTGCCCAGTCTCCAGAGGGCCCAGTGGAAAGCTCCTTTCTTTACCCCTGCTTTCTTCTTGGAGACCATCCTGTCTACTACTGACTACTAACCACCCGTACTGAGTAAAAGCTAACACAAACCGTACCTGGAAACAGGTGTACTTATAAAGGGAGCCACCTGTCTGATAAGGGACAACTCCCAGGGTGGCCACATCCACATACTGGTTTGGAAACAGAAACAGATCCACACAGCAGCCTTGCGTTACACACTCCTTGGCTAAGTTGTTGTAGAAGCTGGTCTGAGGCTGAAACAGGGTCTGGAGAGGGAGAAAATGGGGCAAAGACGGTCAGGAAATCACCTTGTCCTCACAGCATCCAACCTACAGTTCTTAATTGCTGACCTTCTTACCAAAATATCTCATTTTATTTCCCCCCTATATGCAACAGCAAGGGCTACAGCCCATAAAGGGAACTATATAACTTTCGGAACTGCCAAATTCCCTTTAGATCAACCCTGAAGGGTGCTGAGAATTGCAGTCAGGTTTTGGCAGCGGAAACAGAGGTATCGGTGTTTGTGATGTGGAAGGGAAGGTGTGAGGAGTGGGAAGGGACAAAGGAGGAAAAGCAGGGAGAGACCAGAAGGGACAAGGGGGAAGCAAACAGCAACCTTCAACCAAGCTTTCAGTCCTACTAGCCAATTGTCCTCACACAAATTTCCTAAGCAAATCAGCAGATGAACGAAAACGAAACAAAGACAGCCATGAAGCACATGACCCGCTACCTTCTCTTTATCCGTGTTTATCAGCTTCCTGTCATCTCGGTTCTTCAGCTTCCCTGGGGCCTCTGCAATAGGCAGCGATGTATGGAATATAAAGAGCTTACCAGCGCACTCTGCGGCCTGCAAGCAAGCACAGAAAAGAATTCCAATTAGGAACAAACGAGACAGGCAAAGGGCTCTGGCTCCTCCGAGTTCCCCTGCGCCCACCTTCCACACAGAAGCTCTAAGACACCAAAGGCTGCTCTCTGGGAGGAGAAATTCAGCTCCTAATCACGCAACTTGTAAAGAGCACAAGACTGAAAGTGCTTTCAGCACCACCTGCCATTTGTGGTGTCTTTACTTCCAGAATGTCAGTCACGGGAAGCAGGTCTGCCTGCTTGTTCGGGAGCCCAAGCGCTCCCTCCCAAAGCAGAAGCGCTTGTGGAGACTTGACTGCAGGGACCAGATGTGGCTCAGAGGCCCCGTGAACTGTGGAGGGTGTGGGGAAGACTTGGGAGTTCTCCGTTTTAACAGCTGGCATCCCATGCAGCACCTGCACGCTACCCGGATTAATGCCATAGACTTGGGAAAGCTCCGGCATACTGCTTAGACTATTTTAAGTTACAGTGCAAAAACAAGCACAGAAAAAGCACCCTGCTGCTCCCTGGGAAAGGGGGCTCTCCTGGACGAGCCGCTGCAGTGCCTGTCGACTGCCTATCTGATTATTACTGGTGTGGTGCATCATGCTTAACTGGGCAGGACACTGCCATCTAGTGCAGGGCATTCTTCTGCACAGGTGGAGGAAGCGCTTCACCTGGGGCCCGGAGACAGGCCCCGTTCTCGCCTACCCGCTTCACCGTGATCGGTGTGGTGCACTCACTGGCAGTGCCCTAAGTGCCTTACGCTTTGGACCAGATGGGCCCCAGTGCCATCCCACCCCCCACACGCTCCATGAAGACATGGGAGGCATCCGTGGGGCATTCGCAAGGGGGCATCTTCATACAGAGGCGGTGTGAGTCGGGAGCAAGAGCAACTACCCTGTGAGGAGGAGCAACACTGCTGGCGACTGGTCCTCTTATACAACAGGTGAGGCTGTGGGGCACACAAAGGATGCCTACAATAACCGGTGGTGTGGCAAAACTGGATAATCTACCAGAATGCACAGTCATGCAGTGAAGCTCTGTGTTGAGAGACTCAGTAGATATCAGGCAGTGCTGCAGAATGTGCTACGCCAGGGTGTCCTGGCAGCCACCAATTTGGAGAGCTTTAAAGGGGCATTAGATGCATTATGGAGGATGAGGCTGTCATTGGCTAAGAGCCATGAGGGCTTTGCCAAAACTGGGCTCTGTAGCCCTTTGGGCCACTGACAATCATATTGGGCTTGATGAGCGGAGCCACATGGTGCGCGCAACACCTGGACCACCAAGCTGATCAGGACCACTTTGGAGCAGTCCTTAAGGAGATAACGGCGATGACTTCTGTGCTTAGTTAAAACATGTGAGAAACCACTCAAATGCCTCAACTTCACTCTTTCTGCAGATTTGCGAATGCAGGCATGACGACGTACTTGCAACAATGCAAAGTACTGCCATGGAGTCAGATTCCTTCATTTTCATCTCTCTGACTTCTATCTCACTTCAAATGGGACGCATTTGTCAACGTGTTTTGTCACCTTGTGTTCCGATCGGAGTACAATGTTTTCTGCCTTTTTTAAGTGATCAAAGTTCAACCCACTCATTACCAGTGGCCACCACGGTTAAGAATTCTTCTAGGATGAGAGACTATAAGAAACAGTACCTAGCCAAATCCCTCAAAAGGGAGCCATGGATTCCGTTTACCAGCCCATGTGTTAAGAAGGAGCGCTGCGTGTGTCCGTCAGCACGCGAGTACTTCGAAGAGGCACGGCCAGCCACTGCTCGGTGCCACAAAGGGCAAAGCATGGCATATGCGATGCTGCAGACAGACCGTAACTGGGCCTCTATGAACAAATCTATTCCTAAGGGAAATCTGAAAAACAAGAATTTTCCTTGCCTAACTTGCAGGAATGTGGACTGTTGTTCTTTTCAGTGATGCTCCCAAAAATCATTTCCACGTATCATGGATTATTTTTCAAATCACGTGAGAGCCCTTCTGGCCATCACTGTACAAGAAGTGTCCAGCGGAAGAGTCCTATGCAAGAATTATGCACCTATGTATTACGTATTCTCGACACATGCATTGTTTTGTTTTCATCGCAAGCTACTCATTAACGAAAGAAAAATAAGGCTACCTCGTTTATTTATCCCAGATGGTGACCATCACTCCTTGTCCAGACTCCACACCCACAGACTGCAATGTTTCTCTGCCTAAACATCCACGTACGTTTATGTATACACTATTATCTTGCGCTCACTGGAGCTTTCTAGTCCCACAGAGCTTGCCTGTTCTATTTTGCTAGGCATTCATGTTTGTTATTTGCCATTTCTTGACTAATTTCCTAGACTGTTAGATGGAAAAATGAAATGCTGTTTACAACACATGACTGAAATGTCACACTAGTCGTATTCTTCAAGGTTCTCTGGACTCACAGAATTTTTCCAACTTTATCAAGAAACATGTAACATTGCAATGCAACCTATAGCTAAGCAGTCACTTACTTGTAAATTAAATCCATTTCTGTGGTGGTGGCGGCACTAAGATTTTGTTGTGCCTCCACATTGTAACACAAAAGACTTACATTAAATATACATACCTACATAAGAACAAAAATGGCTAAATATAATATGAATAAAATCCTAAGCATTCAACTATGGTTAAATTTACAAGCAGCACAATCCCAACCCTAAAATGAATCCTAAAGTACAGCTCAGCCAAGTGCCTGATGAAAATAGTTAAGCGACGCTCCTCCTGATTTTAATGATCCGCAGCGTGAAGCCAGTGCGAGGCAGGCACCGGCCAGCTGGAGCGGGACGTGCCCCACTCCAGGCCAGGAAAGCGGCCACAGCCTGGCCGCAAGCTGCCTCCAGGGGCGTGGGGCGCAAAAGCCCGGAGCCTCCCGCTCGGCCCTGGCTGCAGGGTGTGCCCTCAGGATGCGCTGAAAGCCAGGCCTACAGATGCGCCATGCAGGGAGGCGCATTAACCTTCATCTCACAAGCTCGCACTGCGAGGCACATTTGCTTCTCTTAAGGAAGGGATGCCGCCTGCAGTGCTGGAGCAGACCAGGGTAGCAAGAAGCCAGCCACAACATCTCGTGCCCCAGCTATCTGTAGCCTCCAGCGAGGGCCTCCACTTCCAGGGTGGTTTTGCCACCTCTCAACACTTCAAGGGTTGCAAAGTGCTCAGAAGAGGATCGTGCGTATGGACCTGGTCTGTATGTCATAACCATCCATCAATAAGCATGGGCTACTCAGAAAACAAGCAGGCACAAGCATCCATGGCGGTCCGCTCCCACGGAGATGAACAGCTCAGGAATGCTTGGTCCCTGGATTGCTCAGCATGATATTTGACCCTGAAACAACCCAGAGTCCCGGATCCAGACATTACAACCACCAACCGAAGGACAAAATGTAAGCAGCAGCAAGCAGGCCGTGGGAATCGTCGTGCAGACTCACCTGCCCAGCAACCAACCCCATGGCCTGTTAACCATGTTATGTAACACGAACCAAACCATTATATTAACACAAAATGGAGAAATGACAGGAAGACGGTCATTTAGACTGATGGTGAACCCTAAACAAACCTTTAAAGCTTCCACACCAGCCTGAATCACTGGAGCAAACACAGTTTCGGTTTCTCTTGTATCAGCAAAGATTTCAGGGATCTGGTCCAGCAAGCTGCAAATCAGGAGAATTCAAATCAAAGGGTGTGCAAAATTCACCAGGTGAGCTTAGCCAGTGGGAACAAGTCTGGATCTAAGACACTACTAAGATTTGAAAAGAAAAGGGTTAGCTTCCTTTCCCTACTCCTGTGTCTGAGGACTAGTATTTTATTGTTTAAAATGTTTTTAGTGGCCACTTTACAAAAGGGAGCATGGCCTTTCCCTGTGCTCACTCGCCTTGGGATCCTTAGTTGAGCCGGGGAGAGAAGCTGGAGACCACGAGGAGGCAGTGGCAGAAGCGCCAAGGCGAATCTCGCCCAGCACAGGCAGGGACTCTCTACTGAGCCAACGTGGCGGTGAGAGTGGCGCGGGTGTGGCATTTCATCCCCACTGCTGCTGCCCAGGGGCTCCCCAGCTTGCTCTGGCTACCTGGGCAGTGCCCACGTTGCCCCTTTGGGCTTCCGTGCATGAAGCACTCTGGTGTGTTGAGGCTGCAAAATGGGTCAGCAGCCCAGACTGCTCCCTCCCTTGGTGGCCCTAGAAACGCATTTGATCACCATCCCACAACAGGATGCACCCCGGTGCCGCTCGCCGGCTTCTACTCACCTGGTGAAAACCGTGCGAGACTCATTGATGTTTACCAGGAAGCCCTCAAGCAGAGGCACAAACATGTCTGCTACGTCAGACACGACCATCATCTGCGGCTGCGCCAGGGCGCTTTTCACATTGTAGAAGTGCAAAACTTTGTTGTAGGTGACAAAGCCCACGCGGATGGCGGATTCCTCCATGCCCCCATTTCTGTGTAAATCAAATGGAAGAGGAGGGGTTGCAAGAATGCCCTGAACGGGCCTGCAGCCACGCAGAACAAGCTCACAGACGGGAGCCCTGCAGCCTGCACTGCTGTGGCACTCTCAGCAGAGCATCCCACTGCCAAATGCCTCCTTCCCGCCTTGCGAGCATTTTATTGCAAGGCAGGTTACTGTTTTCCTGAACGAATTCCTGAGCAAGAGAGTGCACCGCTCAAGATCTCTTTGGAAGCATGCCTCCCATGCTCAGTGCGGGTTCTGAAGTGCTCCTTTCATCTGTAGTTACCTGGGCAGGTAGTCCAGGAGAATCTTCAGCTCTTCACAAATCAGTTTTACCAGGCCACTTCTTACCGCATTATAGGATACATCGATCATGAAAATAAAAGCAGGCGGGTTGGGGTACTTGTTATTCTGTAGGAGAGGAAGAGAAAAACCCTCTTGTCAGCATGTGCATGAGTGCTGCCGACATGCATCCTAGGCGTTGCGTCGCTGTGCTGGGACCACGAAACACAGACGATGACGTGGCACGCACACCCTGCCCTTCTTCCTCTTGTGAGGAGCCCAAGGTGGTTTATGGGCGACACGTGATCCTCGCAACACAACCCGGGAGGCAGGTGGGGCCGAAAGCCTGTGAGCCGCTCCGGGCCACCCAGCGAGCTGCGAGGCTGAGTGGGGACCGGAGCCTGGAGCTCCCAGCCCCTGCCCAGCACGCTCACCACCGCGCTGGCTTTCCACGGAGAAGAATTTAGATTTTCCTAATGACCACACAAGGGTCAGCCACTTGTGTTCTATCAGAGAGACACAAGGGGGTTGAAAATATAAAAGAAACCTGGGCAGGGTGTGTAAAGGTAAGCCTGGAGGCAGATGGTTTGAGCCTGGAGGTGTAGGTCAAGGTAACAGTGTATGAAAGTAACCGAATGTTTTCTGCTATGTTTTCCTATTATGGATCGCTGCCAAAAGCTACGTGTAGAAATTTGCTGTGCACGATGACTGCTGGCAGCTGGTCCCAACTGGAGATGGCTCATTCGCCACAGTTTGGGCACGCCTACAATCCAGAGTATTTTCCATGTGAAAAGACGTGCTGGTGCTGCCTGCCTCTCTCAGTCAGACAACACGCTAGAGGGATTCTTCTTGGTTGCCCTCAACGACTGCGTACTGACTCTGTTTCCATGTGCAGTACTGTTCCCAGTGATCCACACAAGCAGGTGCTGCGTGTCTTCTGCCTGTGCCTCAACACCCATGTCTGATGTGTCACAAGGCAGAGAACAAAAGACATCCAAAGCTTTAGCTGGGGCAGTGCCAGCCTGACTCCAAGGAGACCAGCATGCCAGAAGCTGATGGGACAGGCATCCTGGCAGAACGCGGCGTCTTCTGCACCGTGCTGTGAGAGCCAAGCGGCCCTCTGGACAGGAAAACCCAGGCAGAGCTCCAAACAAGCATTTTTCAAAAGATTTTAAGAAGGTAATCCTGGAGAAGTGGAGGAGCCAAGGATTTCAAGAAACTTGGTGGGGGGTGTTTGTAGATTTTTGGATAGGCTGCAATCTTGTACACACACCTACCCGGAAGTACATAAGCCCCACTGAGCTCAGTGGAACTTGCATCTCAGAAGGCTTGCACAGGGCTGCATTGTTACCTACTTTTTGTGTTCGTGATGGAACAGCACAGTGGAAAAACATAATATGGGGGGAAATGGCTGGAGGCACCAGGAACGAAGGACGTGTGACAGTGTTCCTCAGAGCACCCTCTAAAGGGATTGCCTTCGTTTTCCAAGGGCAACTTCACCAGAGGAAAGAGTTGGCTGCCCAACTCTCAAGAATGCAGGCAAATACCGGCTGCTTTGCACAGGGGTTCCCTGGTGCAGAACCACCGATGGTGCTTTCCTTGGGCCAACCCAGCCATCATGGCTTCAGAATCATTCTTGCTGGCTGCATCTTCCGGCAGCCAACCAGGAGGCGGCTTTACCCAGGCAGGGGCCCACCTGTGGAGCGCCTGCCCTCTGTGCACTGGAGAGACATCAGCTGCGCTGTGTCTAAAGGCAGTTGCCAAAAACACGACTCTTTAGGTTTCAGGCCTCCTCGGGTGCTAACGCGTCCGTTTGCTCAGTACTTGCTGGATTTCTAGTTTGGCTCTAAAAATTCTTCCAGTTTTAACTGACAGTGTTTTGCTTGTATCATGGTCTTTGCTGGCATAAATTGCTAAGCATTGTTCTAGCTGTGTAAGTGACACACAAATTAATTACTTGACTAGCAGAAATAAATAAAACAGACCTGTAAAAGCATACAGTCCTCTGCCTACCCCGACAACCAGGGAGCGGCCGAGACTGACGTGCAAGCACACTTGCGTCTCTCCAGAAGGAAGCCCCACTGAGCCCGGCGGGGCTGCTCCCAGGCAGACGGGAGCAGGCTCACCCTCCCAAGGCTCACCCAGGCCTACAAGCCACCGTACCTTGCAGTAGTCCGCAGTGGCCAGGAACTCATAGGTGCCTAAGGAGAGCTCAGGCCGGTCATAGTAGTCCACTCGCCTGCCAGTGTGATCCAGATGCTGGAAGTAGTGGGATGGCACTGTGCAAGAGGGACAAGAGCAGAACTCAGACAGGCACCCTGCCCTTGGGGGGCCAGCCATGCCTCCGGTGGCTGCTCCGATGCTGCCCGAGGAAGGGACTGACGGGCACCCTAGAAAACGCCCCTTGTCAGCAAAGAATGGTGTCCATCAAACACCTCCTGGCTCCTGCTACTTGTAGTCCGCCCAACTATAAATCAGTCTCATGCATTATTTCTTATCACACTGCATTCATATCTCACCATCTGCTCACTGCCAGTTCTCCTGGCCTTTCTTTAAAAAGCTGAGCACCACCATATTAATGGACATTGTAGCTAGCCAATGATCACAACTACCCAGTCCTAACTTGACATATACACAGCATGAGGCGGATGTCTGTACTTCCCAGTCATAACGCCCAAGTCCTGAAAATAGCATAGAGTTGCTTAAAAAAGCAAGCTTTTGTGGCAGACTTGAGACCTAGACAGGCAATGAAATGGATGACGAAAACTCAGAAACTTTCTGAGAGCAAGGCTGCCATCATTTAGTAGAAACAAGATTATGCAAAGTAAACAAACATACAAACAAACAACTTTTTATTTTTTGCAGTTCGCCCAATTCAGCTACTTTTGCCAAGGATGTGTGCATCCCTACTCAGCGTTTGTCAACTGTGTTTATCGCTGAGAAAGTGTGCTCTGACTTTGGGAAAAGAAAGTACTTCAGGGCATGCGGAAAGCAGCTCAGCTCCACAATTACCCCTGGCCAATGTGATCATGGAGAGGCCACATTCATCAGTCCGATCCCCGAGGAATGCATTATTCATCAAGATGCTACATTTCATTCATTTTAATATTTGTGTACCAGCCCATTCCCAAAGGCTTTGGGCAGCTGAATGCAACAACAGTATATGCAACATAAACATCGTATTTCTTAGTTTATGCCATGGGTCCTCAAACTAAGGCCCGGGGGCCGGATCTGGCCCGTCATGCCCATTTGGACCCGCCGCGCCACGCGCGTGCCTGCCGCCACCCACCTTGCCCCGCGTGCAGGGAGACAGCGGTCTGCTCATTCGGAGAAAACGATCTCCAAGCGAGCAAGCCGCTGCCCCGTGCGCCCGCCTCCCCTCCCCTCCCCGCGCACACCGGCCTGATGCACCGCCAGCACCGCCTTTTCGGCCTGTGCCCAGCACTGGCACCTTTCAACTGGCCCCCTGCTGAAAAAGTTTGAGGACCCCTGGTTTATGCAATTAAAATGCAACCTAATGAAAATAAATTGTGCAGCTTGTATCAATAATGCCAATTATGAAATATATCTTAATTTGCCTAATTCTTTCTGCAACCTTTATTACTGGCATAATTATGGCCCATACACTTTTAAACAGAACATCTCAATCACAGAGGTCAAAATTTGCTTTCAAATGTTATATTACACTTTTACCATAGCTCCCTTCTTACGAGGACCACAAGACAACTTACAAGATTCTCCTCCTCGCGGTGTTATCCTCCCAACAGCAACCCTGTGAGGTAGGCTGGGCTGAGAGTGAGCACTGGGGCTGAGTGGGGCTAGGACACCGATCTCCCAAGTCTCGGTCCGGCAGAGCAGGCGAGCACCAGGCGCGATCAGTATCCAGCGGGGGTGCAGAAGAACGGGGACCTCCTTCAATTGCACTAAGGCTGAAGGTGCCCAACTCACGCGCACACAGGACGCCATGATCTCACACATGCAGGCCCGCTCTTAAGTGGAGGGCAACCTGTGCATGTTTTTCGAAGGAAGGGAAACCGCTCCCAGGCCAGACGGGATGCATGCCCGGCCACTGGCTTGATCATCCCAGCTGTCTGTCCAGAATTTAAGCCCAACATTTTCAGTGTAATCATCAATACTGAAACATTACTAATTGGCTACTGGAATTTGTCCCGATTATAACGCTGGATAATCTTGTTTGTACTTCCATGCGGCATAAAGAGAACCACCCCCGATCAGCTACCTGAATGGAAAAATCTTACCCTCCGTGACGCAACTGCAGAAGCAGCACTGGAATCTTCTTCCGCCCTCAATGAATTGCATAAATGGGCACATATAGGCCTTGCACCTATTGCACCGGATTGGGCCCGACTCGCCATGGTCTACCAAATGAGGAGGAGTCTGGAAAGAACAGAAAATCTGGGTATCTCCGCTACGTAAAGCAACCTCCTTTTTATCCGTGAACGTGCCTGCCACACTTTTCCTACAGCTGCCCTGTCATATAAGCTCAGCTCTGCACAGCCGTATCAAGCAAATCCCTGACCTTCGTGGAGAAAGCCTGCGGGCAGGGTAAAAGCCGTAAAATCCCACTGTGACACTTCTGATCGTTAAGTTAGCCCCCTTTGAGGGAGGAAGCACGCATAACTGCCTGAATCTTCTGTTACAGTGAAGATCTACCACAAAACACAGCTCCGGGATAAGACAGAAGCAGGGCCTTGTCTATAGAGTGCCTTGACATTTTGATTAGCTTCTCTCATTTTGGGGGACCAAAAAGCTAAGGTGCAGCTTTGTAAATCGAACATTTTGTTCCGCCTGTTGCATAGAACAAGACACTTTCCTAAATGAACATTAACCAATACCTAAAATTTAGTTATATGGAGTTCTTGATCAGGCCTAGAATTCAATATAACAAAAAGCTTTTAAGTACTTCATTGAACCTGCTTCAATACAACCAAGAGCACCTTATCTGCAGACACAAAGCACCAGCTTTATTCTTAGGGCAAAAACAGATTCAGTGCCTATGATTATAAAAAATATTCCAAGTGCTGCCATAGTTGAGGCTCTGCAAAGAGTCTGAAAGGCAGCAAACTGCCCCTTGACCATGCCTTCAGATGCCCGCTTGCTTTCAGGAGCACGCCTCTCTGTGGAGCAGGTGCTGCATTTCAGTCACACTGAAAGTCCTTTCGGTTGGTCTCGCTTCCACACCTTCCTCCTTCGACTTCAAAGCACTGACTGGTGCGGAGTATCTAGTTTCCCCCACCAGATGGAGGACTCAGCTGCCAGGCAAGCCGCCTAACACTGGGAGAAGCCTTGCCAGGCGGTACACAGAACAACATGGCCGGGCCCTGTGTGACGTGCTCTCTCGGTCGCCACCACTGGCCTTTCTCCTCTCCCCGCAATACACAGCTGGCTTATCAGGCAACTCTTGAACAGATTGCTAAGTCAATTATTGACTCACTTAACAGCACCTGCAAGTGAAAATTCCGTTTCTCCATGGAGAGTTTCTTGGCTCAAAATACCATCGTTACAGTGCCCTGAAACCCAGGCTGGGATTCTCTTGCATATCAAAGTCAGTTTGCCAGTCCTGTTCAGACACTGCCTTGCTCAGTTTTCCCTTCCTTCCTACAGGAAAGCAGGTGGTGTGGATTGCCTTGCACCCACCGTGACCAGCGGCTGCCACTTTCTTTTCCCAAAGGCCAGGCCAGGGCCTTCTTTGCAGGGCCCACCAGCCCCCGCTCCCTGTGAGGAGCAGCCGCAGAGCCACTGCCTCAGGCAAGGGAGTCTCCCTTGGGCCTGCCAGGCCTCACCTGCAGGGCAGGAGGGAAGAGAGGCAGGTGCCTTCCTTGCGGGCAGCAGGGTGCAAGGCCCACCGGCCAGACCAACCACGTCCAGCCGCAGTGCAGCCATTCTGAGGCCGGGCCGCTGGGCGACTCCTCGGAGGCCTGCTCTGGACTAGGAGCGGCCTGCTGCCATCTACCTGGCCGTTCGAAGAACCATGCAACCTTCCGCTCTGGTGCCCAAGTTTCCACTCTTTTCCTTTATTGCAATTACATGCCTGAGAGCACCTGAAGTTTCTTACTTTATGGGTGTCCTGTGAGTAGCTTTGGCGGTCTTGTGTATTTATTAAGCAGTTATAAATAAATCAACCTAAAGTTAACAAACAGGGTGCTTTTTACATAATTAGAGCAAATCTAGGGAAGAATTCACCTGAACAGTGGAGCCTAGTAGAGCCACTGCTAAGCAGAATTGGCCTCCTAGAACGGCCTCGATAAAGTGATCTCAGCCCCCCATGTTTGGATGGTGCCTTTCTTTGATCAGGCATAGGAACCTGCGGGGCCCATGTGACTGAGGCTCCTTCTTTAATGAATCTATGGAAATAAAGGGTCATGAAGACTGGCGTGCAAAATGGACACAGGGGGTTTATACTTCTTGCTATTTCATTTGCCTGAGTTGCTTGTTTTTCGTGTTTGTAAATGGAAATAGAAGCTACATGCCGTGCCAGCTGAACCCTCCAGACAGCAAGCTCACCTCTTCCGCGGGAAGCACAGCCAACGGCTTTATGACTGCGGCAAGAGGAACTTGAGACTGCTTAGCCATCTCTGAAGTGCAGGGGATGTTATAGGAGGTACACCTTATGTAGCGGGGGCTTGCATTACCTGAAAAGAAATACCAAATACAGAGGTACCTTAGCACCAAAGTGACAGGCTCTATACCACAGGAACAGTCACATAAATGACAACAGAAACATAAGTCAGACAATTAGAATGATCAAATCTTGCATCAAAGCAAATTAAAAAGGCAAGAACAATTGCTGAGGCAGACTATAACATCAAAGGCAGGCACAGAAAAGAAAAGTGACCACCCAGTGCCAAAAAAGGAAGGAAGAATGAGGGGAAGGCAAATCTTTTCCCACTGGTGGAAGGGGCTTGGAAAAGTGGCTCTGAAGATTTTCTCTGCATATGGGCAAGCCTGTGGAGGAGCCCGTGCACGTGTGTGCGGGTGCGTACACACACACACGGCAAGACGTCCTCCGGTGTCAGCTGGGATAACGCAAACTCTATCCTCTGAAGGAATGCAGGCGTGTGAGAGCTAGCCAAGCCCAACCCCAGAACTAGCCACTCAGCTCTGGCCGCCACACACTGGACCCTGGCCCAGGCACCGCACTTTCTACCGAGTACAGGTGAGTTATAGGCATATCCACACTGAAAAAGTGAAGTGCTCCCAGCTGGGCAGATACACACACAAGCTTATTTGGGAGTTTCAGCTGAGAAAATTTTATTCTGGGTCTCCAGCAGGGTTAAAACGAGGCAGGAAATGTACAACTCTATGAACATGACTTTACCTTGATCTTTGACCAAGAAATTGGTAGTGACAAGGGGCGGGACTTGCCCACGGACTCCCGTGACAAATGGCTCCGACCCATGATTGTTCCTGTCATCTTCAATTACCTGGATCTGGAATGGGAAACAGCAGGTTAGCAGTGTGGTGGGTCCTACGCAGAAACAGGGATCATACAACTCAGGCTGTAGCCAAACAGCATTTGTAATCAGTCACTACACAGAACACTCTGTTTACTTTAGATCCAAATCAATTTGCCTTTCCAGGGCTGGGGGTAAAAGGACAGCCCTCTCAAAGACAGGGACGCAGCCAGCACATTAGGGGTGCTTCAGGGGGTCACGCCTGCTCCTCCAGCCCTCCCCCCTGAGATGCCCTCCACAACACCTGGGACATCAACTCTCTGCAGCCCCAGCCGGTATGACCAAGGCCAGGACAGCAGGGAGCTGCCTCCCAGAGCACCTGGCAGTTACCAAGCTGGGAAAGGCTGAATTCATCCCAAATGCAGGGACCAAGGGCGCGTCTTCTCACCTGCCCTCTGGAACTCTTGTTACAAGGTCGGAAAGTGCCATGCCTAAGTCGTATGGTAGTATTTTTGTAAGCTGTTGTTTGCAATCTCCTGGGTTCTTGTAAAAAATGAAGTCCCAGGCATTTCGAGTGATACCAAGACTGACACAGGAACAATTTAAGAATTGAGACCATATTCTAGTTCTCAGCAAGATGGAAGAACCTGTGCCTGAACTGTACCATTTCGAACTGCAAGTGGGGGCCTGCATGATGAAATGATCCCCCCAACAAACCAAAGTCCTCCCGGAAGGCAAGGTTCCCCCTCCCTGCTCCCCTAATGCATCCACTCTGTACATGCTGGGCACATGCAACCCCCAGCACGTGGAAGATACTTCCCCGCATTGGTCAAGCCAATCCAGTCTTCTGCAAAAGGGTTCTCAAGAGAATTTTGCAAAGCTTTTTTCAGATCAACTGTTGCCCTCATTTTTTGCTAACAAATCTTCTGCTCCACCCACGCTATTCCTTTCAATTGTGCCCTGTTAAACTTAGACTACAATCTTCTCAGCTCAAAATTTAAGCAACCTTGAAATTCTGGTCAAAATCAGAACACTGGTGGCACTGAGTAACTATTAACTGTAGTACTATCTGTAACCAAAGAAGTTGTCATACAGGTTTTCAGATAATTCTGAAACAATTCAAATAATTCTGCTTCCAGCCTCTACATATAAAAGCAAAGTGAATTACAACTGCATTAGAAGATACCATGGAATACTTTTCAGCTCTAAGATCACAGGTTTTTACTTACCCCTGCCCCCCCCCAAAAGTTACGGAAAAGATAATGCTTACAATCTATTACTTTGTGCTCTAGTTTAATTGCTTTTAAATACTAGTATGGCACCCCCTTTCCTGTTCAAATATTCTACCCTCTCTTCCGTGCAATTGGTATTATGCCACCCGTGACCCGAACATTCAATGCTTTTATATTCTGAGCTGAAACAAGCCTGCAAGGACTGCATACAAAAGGCTGAATGACTCTGCCAAGCAACAGAACTTCTGTCCCAAGTCCACCAACTAAGTAAAGTTGGTATCACCTCCGTTGTAGTTTTAGTGCCATGACCAACTTCAGCCCGTTCCCAAGACATGGCAATGCAGGGGCAATAGGCAACTGACATTCGTGAGTTTATCACAGTTTGCTTTTTAAAATAGATTGTCAAGGAATATGATTCATTAGTAAATAATATTTAATTCCCTGCTGCTTGAGATATATTAACAGCAGCTAATCTATCATCTCTACTTTCCCTCTAATCTTCACCCATAAATTCATATTATGAGGAAACAGTCAAAGAATGTTGCTTCTGCATCAAAAATTAAACTTGGATGATTGTTTTAAAAGTGTAAGACAAAATAACTTCACACCAAACATGAATTTAAAAAAAAAATCTTTTAAGGAATAGGCTGTGTGTATATATAATGCAAGCTAAGTGCAATAGACCAGGATGTTCTAGTTTCCTCATTTCAGTGGATTTTCCAGGGAAAAACCCCATTCATTTCAGAAGCACACGATCAGCAGGAATTCCCAGTGGGTTAGGCTAATTCATAATTCATGGTATAGAACTGGCAAATGAAACCTCTGCACCCAGATATACTTTGCATAGAAATGACTCAATGTCAGGATGAGAGATATTCATCAAGAGATGAAATTGATTATCTGTTCCTGCAAATGCCAAGCTTCTATTGCCCCTTGATTGTGATGTGGATTTCAGTTTGTGGTGTTTCATTTTGTTTACTGCAATGTTGTGAGTGGAAGGAGAGAGGTGGGATAAGGGTGGAGGACTCATACCAGGAACAGTCAGAAAGGAGAAGATTGCTTTGCAGTACACACAGGCAGCCACCAACATGCAGACAAGAGCAGACAGAGAGACGCTGCACTTACTGGACTAGGAATTGCATCTGGATCTATTCTGTGTCTGGGTTTCTGCTGAGGTGGCAGCTCATTTAGTTGCTTTATTGTTTAAAAAGAAAAAAAAGTAAAATTGCCACAAAAAGGGAAGAGAGAGAAAATAGTAAAACAAAAGTACCAAGCAGTGTTACACCTATCTGTCCCTGCTTGCATCATGGTTAAACATATGCATTCTGGAAACAGTTCAGGCAAGAAGGGAAACAATGCCGGCTGTAGTTCGACCTGCTATTTCCACACCTTGCTCTTGGAAGTGTGGTTAGGCCGACTGCCCCTTGATCTACTTGACAGCGTACGCCATCCTTTAAACTGACCCTGCAGAGCTATGGGCTCCAGGCCAGGCCTTGCTGCAGGAGATGCAGCTCCTCAGATGTCATTTAAAGGAAGAGCAAGGAAGAAGCAAAGCTACTGACATACCTGTAAGCTTTCCAAGCAGCAGATTCAGGCTTTACAGCCGAGAAGACTGCATCTTCATCTTCCACAAGCTAAGTTAGTGCGACAGCACAAAGCACAAGCTACTCTGGAGAAAAAGCCACCACTACCGTCACCTGAACTTGTGGCACCTTGGAACAGTGACTTCACAGAACCCCCTGAACTGGATTGCGATCACGAGAGAGAATCTTCTTTGTTCTTCCTCAGAGCCCAGTTTTCTTACCATTTCATATCAGAGCAGCAACCCAAACAAGTGTGCCACTGTCTTTTACAGATAAAAGCTGCACTTCTGTGGCTTTTGCGACACCCCAAGACTGAAAGTAGGCAGGTCCTGGAACTGATGCTTATGCTTTGCAGTACTAACACAAACAAACCTGCATGTTTTATAGAAACATGCATTCAAGTCCTGCATTTACAGGATGGCAAAGGGCTATTTTAGATGCGCCCAAGTGTCTAGGAGGGCCATGCAGATTTTCTGACTTTCCTTTAACATCTGCCTGCCGTCCCAAACTGCTTCGGAACACCTCTCACAGTTTGCCGTCAGGGGCTGCCATTCACGGAACTTAAGTTAAAGCTCCCTGTGGCGGATTAACCACCGAGTTCTCTGGATCAGGCCGCAGCGTTCAGCTTGCACTGCTCCATGTGCTGTGCATAAAGACAGTGGTCAAAGCGCCACAATACTTCCCCTCACTGGATAACAGTCAGCCAGGAGCCAAATACACCACTGGCCCCCATTTCATAAGCGCCTTCCATGCACTCAGAGGAGTAATACAAATTACTCTCTACACAGACCTGAGTGCCCTCTGATCACTCACGCAGACATGCGTGTGGGCCGGACGCCCAGATATACAGTCCAGAGCGATCCCTGCGACGCTTCTCCCGCAGGCGTCATCGCAGGACGGCTGCAGACTGTAGCTGTGCTGATCCAAGGGACACGCCACATTGGTCTATGGGAGCGCATCCTTGGAGGTGCTCCGGGTGCCAGCATGGACAAAGAGATGGCATGTGAAAAGCCCCTTGGACCGCCGAGAGTAAGTACAGATGGTGCAAATGGGAAGAAGCTGCCAAGAGGCACGCTTTGGTCTCCACAAGTCACTCTCCCGACCAGGACACTGGATTCAAAAAGGGGCGCAAGTCACTTACGGGGCTTGGAATGGCATCTGGGTCGAGACGTTTCGGTGGCGGTGGCGGGCCAGGCTGACTCCCATAGCTTGCTGGCCCAGCGTAAGCTGCACCATAGTTCGGCTGATTGCCTCTACTTTGTCCAAAGGACCCTGCAGAAAATATTCACAGGAATTCGACACAATGGAATCTGAACGGATCAGCCCCGACAGCCAAGGGCTGCCACTTTCCAATAGCCGCCCAACCAAGATCCGAGAGCCCTGGGCCTACGGAGCAGCATGCGCAACGCAGAAGCTGTGCTCTGAAGGAAGCTGGCCAGAACCCGAAGTGGGCCTCCTCTAGGAAACGAACGCATCGACCCACTGTTGCCAAGACTAAAATCCATGCACGTATTGCGGGCTTCAGGTCTGCAGCACTTCAGCCCAAGCAAGGAAGGAAAGGATCTCCTTCCACCAAAACTTCTATATTGCCCCACCCCACGAAAGAGCTCGGAACGTACCATTCTGTTGCGGCGCATATCCTGGCTGGGAAGGCTGGGCGGAAGGCGGTCCTTGCAAGCCTGCGATGGGTGGTCCAGGAGGCGGCCCGGCCATCAGTGGCTGAGGTGGCGGTGAAGTCACATGATTTGGCTGGGAAGCACCCAGCCCAGCAACTGCTTGTCCAGGTAATGGCGCACCCTGCACTACCGGAGGCCTCGAGACGCCTGCCACAGGAGGGTAGCCAGAAGTTCCGACCCCAGGAGGAGGTGGTGGTGGGGCAAACCCTGGAGCTTGAGGTGGGAGGTGCACGGCCGAGGGAGGGCCAGAAATAGCAGGCTGTGTTACGGGAAGACCCTGAGACAAGCTGGTGGGAGGCAATCCATGCGGGATGTTAGCAGGCGGTGGTCCTTGGCTTGGGTATGACACATATTGCCCAGCTCCAGTTGCAGCGAAACTTCCTGAGGCATGTGGAACTGATGTTGGAGGACCTGAGGAAGAGAAGTGAGTATGTGGCTAAACGTATTCCCACATTTAACCAGCATTCAAAGTATTATTCCTCTCTCAGCATGTGTACATCCTCTGCCAAAACATCTCCAAGGATCTCTCGCCCTATTCTGAACTATGGACACCAGGGTACTTCAAGAAAGAGAAAGCAGAACTCAAATGCTTGTCAACAAATATATTTTAGTAGCTACTTCCATGATCATTTTTGCTGGCATTGGTATTGATAACTGGACCTTGTGATGGCCTTTGGTTTCAATCAAATAAAGGACTGGCTGAGTTCATATCATGGGGAAAATGTTTTAAAGTGCTGCTTTGTACGTGTTCGGTTTTTAAGACCTGAATAGCGTTTAGTGCTTCCCAAATTCTTTTAAGGTCCAGTAGCATCTATTGCACATCTGATGACTAGAATTCCCACTACTTTTGGAACCCTCTTTGCACAGGAGTTATGCCTGGAGCAGGGCCTTCCTGGCACAAGGCAACATTCTCTGCCAAGCGAAGTCTTTCAGCCCTCTTGGTTTCCTACATGGAATCACCATTTCTTCAACCAGAGTTTCAACTTCAATGAGTGAAATATTTACAGATACTTACAAAGCAACGTGCATCTTCCTGGGGTACCTCTTCCTTTGTCCCTGCTCTTCAATATGAATCCCAATTTTCATTTCTAATTTTGTGGGTAGGTTTCTTTCCATAAACAATAAGCAATGACTGAATGCTTGTTTAGTATTTAGAAATCAGTGCCTGTGTTTTATTATTTGTTCATTTACTTAGCACTTTTCTCTTGCTCCTCAGCTAGAAAAGGCTCCTGGAGGAGCTTCCAATCTACCTTGAGCTGATAAGATGCCATTAAATGTTTGCAGCATGTAGACCTGTTCTTCAATATTTTACACTACTTGCAAAATTAAAAAGCAACTGCAAACTTAAGAAGCAACTGCAGTAGCTGGAAGGAACTTCAGAGCAACTCAGCCTGTGCAAGCCAAGAGCACGCAAGTGTTCTACCAGCTCACCGTAGCCCAGGCCAGCTGGGGGAGGCGCAGAGGTGGAAACGCTGCCGATCTGCATTCCTGCCATGTGACTGGCCAGCTGCTGTGCACTCGTGGGAGGCGGCCCATATTGCTGGAAAGTAGCTGGCTGGCTAACGGGAGCAGATGCTGCACCAGGGATGAGCTGCTGAGAATGCCTGAGAAAGAAGAGAGAGGAAGGGCAGTTACTGCTGTCTTGACAAATCTCCTTTTGTCTCTTAGCTAGCCAGCCTCACAGGAATGGGTAAAACAGAGGAGGAGAAGGCTAGGGAAGCCACTCCAGGTTTCTCCCAGAAGGAAAAAAAGGAGGACTGTGAATGTAATGGGATTAAATACAAGTAATAATGGACTGCTCACATGAGCACAAAACTCCTTAGTCCTGATGGGGGCGGGGGGGCTAGGGCTCCCTCTTTACACATTGGTGAATCACTAGTGAAGCTGCACAGCTTGACAGAACATGCCTGCTTTCTCTCCAACGCAACCAGAAACAAACCTCAGCTGCAGCCTGCCCAACCACAAAGGGTGTCGCTCTGCCACCAAAGCACTTAGGTACATTTAGATGTTTCTTAAAGACCACTAGGGGTTACCACCAGTATAAGGATTTTGTGAACGTCTGTTCACTCAAGATACAGCCAGTTTCAAAACGTCAACTAAATGACCATTTCTATGAGTGCAGCGGCTTGAATTCTGCACTCCCCAGGGCATCAGAGCATTTCTCAATGAAAACTAAGAAACTTCCAATTCAAATGACTCTGTGCCAATTAGCCCAATGTGTGACTTTTCAATTGGGAATTTTCTGGAAAACATGCATCTTGGCTGAGTAGGTCTAACACAGGACCCCACTCGTGGCATCTTACTCCGGCATCACCATTCCAGAGTAAGAGAAAGGCAGCCAATTTGGAAGTGCATGGGCCAGGCACTCCTTCTTCACGGACTTTCCAAAGGCCCGTGTTATTGGATTCTGAAGGAGACACCCAGGAAGAGGCCATGGAGGGCGGGAGCCCTTGAGCGTCTGTCAGGGTTGCCGCCCACTGCTTCCCCAGCTGAGCACTGAGCAGCCATGCGATGCAGCATCAGGAGGGAGGAGCTACCCCGCTGCAGGGCCTGTGCAGGCAGGTCTTTCTGACTGGCTCCCAACAGCAGCAGCCACCCTGACAGCAGAGCCCTTGTTACTACTGAAAGGGAAGGACTGGGCAGGTGTTTCCGGTTTGACTTCGTCTCTCTCTACATGGCCAGAGGCTTATGGTTCATCTTGCCTGGGGGCTCTTGCCAAGAGCTGCTTGTTAACTGTAAAGTGCCAATGAAGATCTGCACTGCAAAGGGCGGTGTGGTGTCATTAAAGACGGAATCAGGGGTCAGAGAGGGTCAAGACCTGCTGAAAAATGAATCAGCATGGCTTCAGCCAGGCAAGGTCTTCTCTCGCTCACCCACTGGAGTTTTTTGAGAGTGTCAATCAGTATGAAGATGGGGTGATCCACTAGGCAGTGTTTACTTGGGCTTCCAAAAGGCTTTTGACCAAGTCCCTTGTCACACTAAGCAGACATGGAATGGGGGGGGCACTTAAGGAGCAGAAGACCAAAGGTAGGAATAAAGGGCCATTTCTCTCAATGAATGCCACTGGTGGAGTCCCACAGGTTCTGAATTAGGGCCAATGCTTTTCAACTTGTTCATAAATGATCAGGAATTAGGAGTTAGCAGTGAGTTGGCCAAGTTTGCTGATACTAAACTTTTTAAGGGGGATAAAACCAAAAGCCCTTGACATTTGAACTTTATGCACTAATGGAAATTCACGGTCTTCTCAGTTGATCTTAGGGAGCAGAGACAGAATCTGAGGAAGCTGGAGATTCTCAAGGATGCACAGCCCAAGACATTAAGAGCTGGCAGTTCCCATTAAAATGTCCAGGTCCCACTGTTTGGATTGGCAATTTTCTCAAATATAGAGCACGCTTATAATATTTTAAGGTTACTGTTTTGCAACTTTAAATAATAGTGAAAAAATTAACTCAAACCAAAAATTTAAGAAATTACAAGACACTATTTACAAATAATAAAAAGATGCTCTGTCTCCCCTCTTCACACCGATACTGGCAAGGTCAGAATCTGACTGCTGTTTCTGGAATTACCTTAGCAATGGAGCTGTCGCAGCAGGAATCCCATTGCGCACATCTCCCTGTCCAAACTGACTATAGAGAGGCTGTCCGGGAGCGGCCACTGTTCCAGATGCCGATGCTCCAGAGGTGGTGGGTGCTCTTAGGGAACCTGGAAGCATTGAGCCGCATATCAGTAAAATACTAGTTGTTCCAACACGGTAACCCTGTACAAGGAAAGCCTTAACTGCGTTAGAGGCCTACTTTGGCACAGACAATGTAAGGTGCACACACAGAGCATGAACTGCAGTGCTCACATACAGCCCTCACAGCGCATTTGCATCATGCACATACCTTCCTTTTCAAAGCATAACCCTGCATATCAGATTCCAAAAAAAGTGATGATTATAGACAAAAGGAAAATCATGTGTTGCACTTATTAGAGCACGGCTTTCTAGTGATCTCCAGGCAGGCCTTGCATGATCTCTGCTTACCTGAGAATTTTCACTAGGAACTCATCCTGGGATTCCTTGTATTATCAGTCATCTCATCAAAGCATCTTAAGAACAGCATTATAGTTACACTGTTCAGCTTTTTAAGCAGTCTTTCATCTGAGAGTCAAAAATCCTAGTCATCCTACAATCAAAGAAACTTGTCTGGAAGCATAGAATTTGGCCCAAAGAATCGACCTCGTGACAGGTGTAAGTTGACCAAAATTTAGAAGTGAGAATGGCATGCGCTAGTGATAGCAGGCCAGGGGGGAGGGGAGGGAGGTTGATAAATAGAGGATGCAATAAGAAAAAGATATTGCCAGCGGCGGGGCGGGGGGGCACAAGCAGTAGGACTCATCTCTGCATTACAGACACGATATGCTTCCCAGCTGAACCCGGGAGGGTTCCGGTTTTGACCTAAGCATCTCTGCATGGCTTGGGGCTGCGATACCTGATCCAATACCTCTCCAGATCTGGATCTACCCAGATGCTGCCCTCTACACCCGAGGCCTCTGTCTGTGCGCCACCTTTGCGGGGAGCGGTGACAAAGGAGAGGGCCTTCCTGGCGGGGTCTGCACTATGGAATGATCTCCCCACTGAGGCCTCCCTGGAAACAACACTGCCATCTTCTCGGTACTAGTTCAGGACTGCCCGATACTTCCAGGCATTTCATGAAGTATGACAGGACAGATCACCTTTTCAACCAGTCTAGATTTTTACTGAAATTGTTTTAGCTGCTTCAACTGCTTCATATTGAGATTTTATACTGTGTTTTATTGTATCTGCATTTTATATTGCAGTGAACCCCTCAGAGAGCTTGGCTATCAGGCAGTATAGAAAAATGAACGAATGACTTGAAATGGGACACACACATCCTGCACCTATTAAGAAACATGAATAAGACTGGCTCAGTTTGAAATGAATGAATTCAGTCTTTAGAATTTGCAGGCAGAGCAGCACTGGCTGCAAGTTCAGTGTCTGAATAAGTTTGAATACTTTGCTGGTTTTACCTTTGGCCAAGCGGGCACAAGATCGCACTCTGCAGCTTAATACCAGGGGTGCCAAAAATGTACACAAGTTTTAAGAGATGCTATCTATGTATTACTTTTCAAAGTTGAATTGGATTATGGTAGCAATGTGTAGTATGATGATCTCTCAAAAGATGGCGGTACTTTGGGAAGAAATTGAAACGGCGTGCACAGAGAGACAAGTGGGCGCTTTGGTATTAAGCAGTAGTTTGCCGCAATCAGAAGTGTCTGGACGCTGATGGGATCCACTCAGAGCCCCTCTTGAAATTGCAGAAGTCAAAGGTGACTTGTATTCAACTTTTGTTACTGGTATATACTGAGTATAAAAATTTTAACACAGCTTTTCCCTTTCTTAAAATGTGTGTACATTTTTGGCACCCTCCTATGCTATGGAAGAGGCTGGTTCCCAAAATTAAAGGTCTGGGCAACTTGTGGCTCTCCCAGTGGTTTGGCCCACGGCTCCCACAATCACCTTCCACCAGCTGCTCTGGCCAGGGCTGCTGAGACCCGTCAAAGCACCCGGACGACCACAACGCCCAGTGGCTGCAGCAGCACAGGCAACAGTTCATGACGGCCAAGTTGCGGGCCAAGAGACTGGGAAGGCCACAAGCTGCCCACTCTTCCCCGGCAGCTGCCTTTTATTTTGACAGCCACCAAGGCTATCGGAGGGGCCATCTCAAAGGTAACGGGTCTAATACACAGACATTCTTCCATGCAAAGACACGCACACCAGCCACTTGTGTGCTGCCACGTGCAACAGCTGCACACGCTCACGTTGCTGCAACACATAAGGACCATGAACTGTCTGTGAGCTCTGACGTACAGACCACCATGAAGGGGGGGGGAGGGGGCAGACATAAACTGTAAAAAGGCATCAGAACTCCATGCTCTAACCATCACCGTGCTTAACATTTAGTTGAAACATGATGTGTTACAGAAAATAATGCATCAGAAATCGTATTTTTCTTAGGAGACCCAGCACTGAAAGGAAAGCATTTACCTATGAAGTTAGGAGCAAAAGAAGCATCAGAATCGAGAGACACTGGAGAGCCCTTAGAAGGAAACCCCAGTGAGGGAAAGTAACCTAGAAACACAAGATACATAGATAGACAGATCAACAGATGGATCAGTAAGAACAGAACTGAAAAAAGTAATTACATTGCATAAGTTCTACTTTTCGCCTTCCTAGTTGTCATGCAACTAAAGAACATGCAAAGGCAATTAAGAAACCAAGAACAAACAATGTTTTCAGGGCTACATGGCCCTCAAAAGCATGCGCGCGCACACGTGGGGGTGGGGGGGGAGAGAGAGAGAGCCCTAACAAGCGCAGAAGTATTCTAATCAAAACACATCCAGAGGACAACTTATTATTTATTTCATTTCTATATTGCTTCATAGTTGATGCAAACTTGTATTCAGTAAATAACAGGACTTATCTCAAGTCACAAATACAGCCAGAGGTGATGGGGCGGCATATGCATCAGGCCACCAGCAATTACAGGTCCAGTCCCACATCCCGCATTTCCTATCATGCCTCAGCAACCATGGCTGACAGGAAGGATCCTGGGAGTTGTAGACCTTTCTCTCTGTTTAAATGTACATTTATTCGATTGCACCCAAATATCATGAAGACAAAGCTGAAAACACTTGTTTTGCTAAAGCTCGGGGATACTTTCCAGGCAGGCTCTGCAGCTACCTGACGGTCCTGCTGCTATTTCAGATAAACGGGGGACTTGCTTCTGAGTGCCATGTGGCACACGCTTCTTTCCACCTCTAACCTACACATCCCTAAAATCTCCAGGCAGGTAAAACCTGTTTTCAAAGTAAACCCATCAGTAAAAGACACGCTGCTCACCCTCTGGGGCATATGCTTGATTTTTTTCTCTAACGTGATCTGCCTTTGAACCACTAGAGGAAAGGAACTCCAAAGCTGGAAATGACCATGGAGAAAATGCCTCTGTTGTCCGTATATGAAGAATAAGTGCTACCAGGATACTGGATGCACTGACTATGGAAAGTGTGAAAGCATACAAGGCGGCATCTTAGGTTTATGTGAGTCTAAGCATTTCAGGATCTCACTGATTAAAATTGTCCTTTGATAAGCAGAAAGCTTTTTAAAAAGCCAGGGCCAATGTTCAAACACTGATAGGAAGTTCTCCACCTAACAGAAGCTGACAAAAAGAGGGACTCGCTACAGGCACTAACTGAGGAGCAACAGCACTTCAAGAACCACCCAAGGCTGAGCAGTGACAGAAGCAAACTCTGCTAGTGCCGAGCATCACGTCACCTGTCCATGACGGCGCTGGTTTTATCAGCTCTCAGCAATACACATGCTTGCAAGCAATGCAGAACGGGGTCCTCAAACTCTTCCAACAGGGGGCTAGTTGAAAGGTGCCGGCAGTGGACACGGGCTGCCAAGGTGGTGCCGGCAGGGGGGCGCAGGCTGGTGGGGGGGTGGGGGCAGGGGGGCACACACACGGCGAGGCAAGGCAGGGGGGCGAGGCAGTGGCTTGCTCGTGTGGAGAGCATTTTCTCCAAGCGAGTCCAAAACAATCTCCTTGTGAGCAAGCCTCATGCCCACACAGACACGACGAGTGCAAAACCTCTGGGGCAGGCCATATCCAGCCCAGGGGCCATAGTTTGAGGACCCATGCTGCAGAACAAAAACTGCTGCTGAGTCTGATTGCTCTAAATTGCCAGCAAACTTAGGCACGCTGACTGACCAGACGGAGAGAAAAACTGGTATCCTGCAGGGTTATTTTGGGACTCCTTGTTAGAATGAGCAAAGACACTGAAGTGCAGTCCTTTTGGGTCAAGGCAACAGTACTTCACAATTATTGCTATCCGAGGACAAATATAATCTTACTGATTCCCAGGCATAGACTGCTAACAAAGATTCACATCAAACTGCAGGTCTGCTACATTTGATTTCTTCTCGATGATCTAACCAGGCAGTTCAACCCACTAAGCAACACTGGAGAAACCAGCTCTCCTACAAAGGTCTGCCAATGTCACACCCTCACGTTCCCAAAGAGAAAAAGCATGCCTTTTCCTCTGCACAGAGAGGTAAATATATAACAAGCTTGCTACCTTTGGCAAGTGCTCCCATTTAAAAATGTAGAAGTCCTGCTTGGCAATTAGCTTTATGGAGACCAACATTTTTGTCTCCATTCCTCATCAGCTTCCAAGAAGTTCTGTACAAACCTTTCTTCACATTTTTTGGTTGGCAATCAGAGCCTAGCACCACCCACTCAGGTGGCCAAATTTGGCATGAGGGTTTTCATATGCTTGCCATAATTTAATATTTGTGATCCACCAAAAAATTTCAGGTAACAGCAACATCACACAACATGCAGTCCCATGCATAACAGTGAAACTGCACTGCAGCTAGAAATACTTCCAAACAATTTATGACATAACAGCAGGCACAAGTTATTAATTATGAAGGAATCAACCATTAAATACATTTTCTACACATTCATAAAAACTTAATGATGAATAATTCAATGTGTACTTGACCTTTGCTGGGACCACCTTGAGAATAACAAAGAGGCGAGATGCAAAGGCACATAATCCAAAAAGTGACAAACAAGTTGGCTGTTAACCTTTCAATGACACCTTAGAATACCTTGTGGGGGGCCAGTCTGCGGATATCCTGTTACAGGGCCGTTGTAAGCACCATACTGAGAGGCAGGAACCCCTGGGAACTGCTGCCCTCCGTAAGTCTGCAGGTACCCTGTATATCCAGTTTGCGGCTGCCCATAAGGTGGCCCTGTGTGAGTTTGCTGGTTTACACTCATTGTGTTCACATCCCCAAACTATTTGTTACCTGCAAGGGGAAAAGAGAAACACGTTAAGAAGCCATGGATCAAAACAACACTGATTGCAAGGGAAAGAGAGGAGACAAAGAAGTTGGCGGAATGTTCCTCACGAGGCTGGCCAGTGGGTGCACTCAATGAACGGCACCCTGGTTTACACAAGCAAGCACTGGGGCACTGCTGGCTACTATTCACTGGGACAAACTGAAGTCAGTTCACTTCCTCCTCCTCTTACCTAGTCAGCTGCATTCCCAGCCACTACTTGCACACATACAGACACATATACATAAAATCCCTTATCTGCATATACTGGAAACACTGCAGTTTATCTCGGTCCGTTATCTTTTCTGATCATCCAGCTTATACAAAGTTGTTGCTTTGGCACAGAAGTGTGCAACATATTCGGCTCCATGGCCATGTGAAGCTGGCTTGGCACAGCCGTGCACAGAACAGTCACAGCAGAGAGGCATGAAATCCTAGACTGTGCCAGGACATCAGCTGGTAGCCAAGTTAGTCCTATCTCATTTGCGCCTACAGTACCGGAAAAATCCATAATACCAGGCAAACCCTTTCAAGGTCCTAGTTGCACTATGGAATGGTAGAACATGACCTGCTCCAGTGCTGTGGAACCCAGAGTACTTCCTAGTTCCCTGGTGGATTCCAGGTGATGAAGGGGGATGAGAGGTGGCTAAGTGACATAAGACTCCTTGTTAGACTAGCTGGACGCACACGAGAGGACACAATCTCACCAACTGCATGGCAGTGAGGTCAACAAAGAAAGTCAACTTTGCTGGCACCATTTTATCCTGAAGCAGCCATTCAGCACAGCTTCTCTGTGCAGTTTGGGATCTGTGATCACCTTCCCCAGTAAATCCTATGCTGGAACCCGCAGAGACCTGCTGTGATGATTTTACAGGACAATCACTCAGGGCAAATCACTTAGCATCATGCTGGCTTTAATGCTGCTCACAGTACAGTTTCTTGTGAACATCCAGTGTGCTGTCTAGGCCAGCTGTTTGGGATCTGGCTCAGTTTTTGAGATCTGTGGATGTATACAAGGCATGTACAGCTGTTGAGCTAGAACAGGCAAGCCTGTAGGCTAAAGTGGGCTCATCAAGAAGGGTTAGCCCAGTGAATCCAGGAGCAGAGGAGGCATCTTGCATGATGGAGTGGTGCACTCACTCCTGAAAAAGCACCCCACAACCCAACTACCCGAGGCCACAATACCCCTTTCAGGGGCAGTGTTAATCTTGCAATTAAAATGCCAGAATTGAGCAACTTTTTTCTTTAAAAAAATGGGAAGTCATACTGATAGCATACAGTGTTTACTTTCATACAAACGTGTCCTGTGTTTTGTATCCTAATTAGCAAATGCAGTTAAACAGGGGTATAGCACCTGAACTGCATCAACATCTGCAGTACTGAAAAACTTTCAGCAATATTCTGAAATCCGTTGTGTTCATTTTTTCATTCAGCATGCTTCTTGCTCACTATCCTTTCTTTTTGCTCACTATCCTTTTCTTTTTGCTCTCAAGTATTTAAGAAGCTGTATGCACCTAGACAAAGGTGTGCACCCAAGTCATACCACTGTGCTGTACGGTTGGTGTGCAGCTCAGCATTGTAAAGTGTGTGCTTACACTCCTTGTGAACCTTTGAGAGATGGACTTTGAAACTTATGATTCAGAATTAATGCTTTTGTTTGGGGATCTCAACAGAGCAGTGTAAAAGTGACATGAACTGGTCCTCTTGACAAAAAGTTTTGTTTCATGTTCCTATTCACCTGTTCCATCCTTACTGTGCCCCTTCTTGAAACCAAAATGAGCAAAGCAAAAATTGGGGGTCATCTTATATGCCAATATATATGGTCATAACGTGGAACAAGCGACCAAGAAAATATCCATATATATCAGCATACAGGGCAACAAACACCAGGAGAACAACCCACAATATTGACCTTGCCTTATATTGTCACCTTATACGCTGGTATATACAGTATGTTGAGAAAAAAGAAAGGGAATTTGTGAAGCATCACTGCAGCTACACCAGTGGGCACAAAAATCACACAGGAGGAGGAGCACTCCAGTGCACATATAGTCAACAGTATTAAGAGTTAAGGTTGGGGGGTGGCCTAGAGACAGTCACAGTTTTTCCACTTTTGCGGGGTCCTGCACCCCTAACCTCCATGAATGTGGAAGGCCAACTGTACAACTAAAAATCAAAATAAGTGTGCTGAGGGAGGAGGACAGGAAATATTCCATTTCTCTCCCAATACCAGTCAGCAAATTGCAATATTAAACATGGGCACAGATGTGTGCACAGGGGTAAATTCAGCCACTCCTCCCTCGATTCAGGTGCAACAGCAACACAAGCGACATATTAGCGGAAGCAATATTTATGTACTTTACAATGAATAAAATACGCCTCAAGAGAGATCAGCTTTAAAAACTGTTTTACAAGGACGCCAATGGAATCATACTTTTAATACACAGCGACCAAGCAAGTCACAAGCTGAAACAGGAAATGAAACCCTTTTGTCATTTGCCAGTGTGTTTCTATGAACCAGGAAGCACCTGACTCAAATTTTACGTTGGTTTTACTTAGTAGCCTTAGGTATGCAGCCACTTCTCAGCCTCAGCTTCACCTGCAATATCATAAGAGCCTTTTGTTTATATCCTGACAAAATATATTTTGACCTGCTCTGCCCCATACACATTACCTCTACTTTGTCCTTGTCAAGCCTTAGTTAAACGTTCAGCAGAACCAAGGCATAAAAAGCTTCTTCCTGAACTGCATCGCTTTAAGCTGTGGATAAAAACCTTTCTCCACGAACAGGCCTCCCATACCAAAACCTTCAGCTAAGATGTTTTCCAGATTATTATAAACTGTTCGACATTCAGCGGCTTGTCTATGAGCACTGCCACATACCGTGTAAAGCGACATGTCACCTGTGACTCAGATACAGCCCAAGCAAAGTAAAAAAAAAAAAGATAAGGCAGAGAGGGCAAAGCCAAGCCTCTTGGATCAGAAACTCGGCCCCGAACAGCCGCACGGTCAATCGGCTCCCGCAACCGGAGAGCAAACCGGAGGGAACACGCTCGTCGGCGCTGCGCAGAGCAGGAGCGCCCGGCGTCGCCGCAGAGGCACCGCACGCCCCGCTGGCCGCGGCCCCGCGTCGCTCCCCGCCTCAGCCGTCCGGAGGGGGAGACCGTCGAGAAGAGGCCAGCGCTCCCTCGGCCGCCGCCGCCGCCGCCCCGTCCGGCCGGGCCCCGCCCCAAAGCAGCCGCCGAGCCGGGACGCGGCCCGCGCCCACGGAGTGGCCCGCGAGGCCGGACGCGCGGC